CGTACCACCTTTTATCTTACAAGAAATGAAAAGGAAGCAGGCAGAGAGTGGGGGACCTCCTACCACCAAGAAAGCAGTGCCGGGAGCATAGCGTATCCTTCGGACCTGGGGTCCCTGCGCCGACAAGCTCCTAGTCCAGGGGAAGATCGATGAGAAGGCCAACAGAGAAAGCCTTCCCCTGGAGCTGATGCCCTGAATTTGGACTTTTAGCCTACTTTACTGTGAGGAAATAAACTTTCCTTTGTTAAAGCTATCCACTTGTGGTATTTCTGTCATAGCAGCACTAGATAACTAAGACATTGCGAGACTGAACAGTGCCCTGCTCTCAGCTGACTTTATCATTTAGAGGAGTCATGAGCTGTGCCTTCACAGCACCATGTAACTCCTCAAATGCTCGCTTTTCTTTACTACCTAAAATTACCATTCTTTCTACAAAATGAGAATACTTTGTCAGATGGTTGGCTTGTGGGTGATTTTTTAACTTTTATTTAGATTTCCACGCATGTTCCTGTATTATTTGTGGAATGAAAAATGTCTTTTTAATGCATAAAAGAATCACATCGTGAACATTAAGAATTTCTGCAGATAAATCTTAGTTACTGAGGTTGGTACATGGGGTACCTGAAGATTCATTATATTGTTGTCTCTACTGTTAATATATAGTTTAAGTTTTCCATAATAAGAGGTTTAAGTATTTTTGTAATTCTGCAAATAAATTTAGTTCACTTTTTTCATGTTCTTCCTACACCCAGAAAGCACAATCTTTTCTTTGCCCCACCCACTAACTTAACGCTGGTCAAATTTGGACACATTGGGCAATGAAAGAAAGACAGGGGAAGGGAAGTGAATTGTGGTTGGGCTCAAGAGCTCTGATACACTTCTTTTTAGAATAATAAAATCTATGACATGAATAGCCATCAGTTACATTTTAGAGTCTGAAAAATTGCTATTGTAACAGAAATAAATTGCTTCAGACCAAGCAAGGAATGACAAGTCATTATTTTTTCTAAAGCAAATTAAATCTGGCTGTAAGCTGTCATCACCAACGTTTTCAGGAAGTCCAATATCAGTGATTATAGACCCTCCCTTTTTAGGAAAATGTATCCAAAACTTGCAAATAAGGCAACAAGATCACTGTGTGTCTTTTCGATGTCATACTAAAGCATCGTCTAATAAGCCACCTCAGGATCATCTTATGCTGTAGGCCCTAGAGCTGTGCTGTCCAGTATGGTAGCCACATGTGTGGATATTGAGCACTTGCGATGTGGCTAGTGCGACTGAGGAACTGGATTGAGATGTGCTATGAGCATAAAAAACACACTCAATTTCAAAGACTTCCTATAAAAAATTACATCTCAAAAAATTTTTTATCAGTACGTGTTAAGGTTATAATGTTGGAGATATATTGGTTTAAATAAAATCTTTGATTAAAATTAATTTTACTTGTTCTTTTTTTAAAAAAAAATAATGAAACTTGAATTTAAGTATGTGGCACACATTGTGTTTCTATTGGACAGTGCTACCATAGAGTCTATGAGAGGGTAACTTTGACTAATTATTTACTCCTGATTAGGGTCCGGACTGAAGTTAGATGTTAGTTTGTGGATGACTGATAAGTTGCAAATCATTTTGTTTCTGACTAGAGAAAACCTCAAAGGTTTTCATTTTATCACCCTGTAGGACATTAAACAGTTTTATATCTTACTTAGAAGCTTTCATTCATGCATGTTTTATTTTCCTCAACAGTTTGACTAGACTTATCTTTGAGGTTGTATCAAGCAAAATCATTGTTTTAAGTCAAAAGTTAGATAACTTTAGTCTCTAGAAATTATCTAGTCTTCTTGTAGTCAAAAAGACTTAGTCCCTTTTATCAAATAATATAACGGATATAAATTTAAGAGTGCTACTCTGTGTACTTCTTAGTTTATGTGTTAATTTAGAATTGTTCTTCATTGAATTCTCTTGCCTTGCTTTCTCAAACGAAAGTCAGAAGGAAGTGGAAATTAGTCACTGATACTGAATAACAGCTGTTTTGTTTCACTTCATCTGCTCATGTGTTTATATAAATAAAGGCAGAGGAACTATGATGTTCTAAAATTCCAGACCTCTGTCCCCAAAGAAAACTTTAAAGAGGTCCCCATTCCCATTACTGGGCCCGCAGTAATGTCCTACCCTACACCATGGGGCATGTCATGTTCTCCCACCACCACTCCATCCATAGAGGAGAGGGTTCTTTATGAGCCCCTCATAAAACCATAGCAGAAACATTTGTTGTGGTTAGTTGCCATGAAGTCAGCCCCCAACTCATGGCAACTCCACGTACAAAGAGTCCCTAGTCCTCTGCCATTCCCATGATTGATTGCAGATCACACCATTGTAATCCATAGCTTTTCATTGGCTGATTTTCTGAAGTAGACAGAAGTAGATCACCAGGCCTTTCTTCCTAGTTCTACTTAGTCTAGAAGTTTCACTGAAACCTGTTCAGCATCATAGCAATACACAAGCCTTCACTGACAGATGGGGGATAGCTGCACATGAAGTACATTGGTTGGGAATCAAACCCAGCCAGGTCTTCTGCATGGAAGGTGAGAATTCTACCACCAAATCAACACTGCCCGCACAGCAGAAACATAGTAGAAGCCTTTTTTAATAATATTTTGTTGTGTTTTCAGTGAAAGTTTACACAGCAAATTGAGTTCCCATTTGACAGTTTCTATACAAATTGTTCAGTGACATTAGTTATATTTTTCACAATGTGTCAGTACTCTCTTTAATTGTGTTCTGGTTGTTCTGTTTCCAGTACTCTAGCTTCCCTGCCCCCTTATCTTCTTACCTTAGCTTTAGAGTAATTGTTGACCTTTGGGTCTCATATAGGTGTTTTTTTAATAGAGCACCGTACTCACAGGTAATATCCTTTATTTGTGTGTCTGTTATTTCACTAAAAGGTGACTTCAGGAGATACTTTTGGTTCAGGGTTTAAAGAGTTTCTCAGGGCAGTAATCTCAGGAAGTCCCCTAGTCTCAGCTGCTCCAGTAAAGTTTGGACTTCTTAAGAATTTTCTGTTCCACATTTTTCCCCTATTCTATCAGGGTCCATCTATTGTGGCCCTGATAAGACCGGGCACCATCTAGTTCTTCTGGTCTTCAAGGTAGATGATGCCATGGCTCATGTTGGCTGTTACCCCTATAGATTAGTTTCTTCTCTGAGACTTTGGTTTCCTTCCTTCTCTTTTGCTCCTGAGGAGTAGAGACCAATCATATCTTAGACAGCTGCTCACAAGCTTTTAAGACCCCTGACACTACTGACTTCACTAGAATGCAGACCATGAACTTTGTGATGCCAGTTGACTGAGTTGTCCCATGTGACTAAGTCCTAAGCCTTCAAACCTAGGTAACCAATCTCGCAAGGTGTGTGGTTATGTGTGAGAAGTATCTGTAACTGCATCCTCTGTGAATGTATATGCATGCACACACATATCTGTATGTACACATATATACTGTTACCTTTATCTGTGCACACATGTGTACACACCTGTGCCTACCCATACACATATATGCCTGTATGCCTACATATGTGACCATACACTCGTTTTTTGGTTATTGTTGATGCTATTGCCAAATGATATATGTCATATTCTTTATCACAACCATCGTTTTCTCTTGTGCACTTCTTAGTAGCATTGTTTACTTTGATCAAGCTGTGGACTCACATTCGGTGCTACTTTTCCCATCACTAAAAAAAGTATGTACTCAGCTCAAAAGCAGTGGGTTTGGTTTTGGTTTACGATCTAGAAAGTGTTTCCCCCTCCTTCCCCACGCATTCCTGGTAACCACCAATGAACATTGGTCTCTATATATCTGTACGATATTTGTCCTTATGTGATTGACTTATTTCACTTAACATTATGTCCTCCAGATCCATCCATGTCATAGTATGTTTCACAGACTCATCGTTGTTCTTTATGGTTGTATAGTATTTCATTGTATGCATGTAACACATTTTGCTCACCCATTCATCCGTTGAAGGGCACTTAGGCTGTTTCTATTTTTTGCTATTGTGAATAATGCTGCAGTTAACATAGATGTGCATATGTCTATCCATATCTCTTTTATTAAATCTCTAGGGTATATACATAGGAGTTGGATTGCTGTATCAAAAGGTATTTCTAGTTCTGGCTTTTTGAGGACTTGCCATACCATTTTCCATAGTGATTGTATCATTTTACAGTCCCACCAGCAATGAATAAGCGTTCCAGTCTCCCCACATCCTCGCCAATATTTGTTGTCATCTGTTTTTCTTTTATCGGTGCCATTTTAGCTGTAGTAGATGATATCTCATTGTAGTTTTGATTTGCTTCTCTCTAATGGCTACTGATGGTGAGCATCTCTTTATGTGTTTGTTGGCCACTTAAGTATCCTCTTTACTGAAGTATCTGTTCATGTCCTTTGCCCATTTTTTAATTGAGTTGTTTGTCTTTTTGTTGTTGAATTTTGAAGTTTTCTATATACTTTAGAGATTAGGCCTTTATTGGATATGTTATTTCCAAAGATTTTTTCCCAGTCTGTAAGTAGAAGCCATTTTGACAGTAGCTGTATCACTGTTTCCAGTTTTACAGAAGCCTTGGTTGTAGCATTCTTGAACATTTGCTTTTCTAACGCTTTTGAAATCACATTTGAGATGGAGCAACAAAAAGGAATATGTTATACATTCCACTTGGTTAATTTTTGTTTGTTTGTTTACTCAGGTTACCAGCTTACTGCTGAGAATCCAAGGAGATGTAAGAGAGGGAACATAAGACCTGAGTTTTAAGCTCTAAATCTCTTATCTAACAAAATAAATAAGTGAATAAACACTACAGAGCTGTAGTATAAGTAAAAGAACAGACAGCATAAAGCTGAAGTCCCTTTTTCTTCACCCCTACCCCTTTATTTTTTTGCATCTAGAGATTTGGAAAATTGGTGTAACCATGAATTATTAGGTATGATGTTTTATTTTATTAGGTTGGAATGAAATACAGAAACCTAATCCTGAAACCTGGGGGATCTCTGGATGGCATGGACATGCTCCAGAATTTCTTGAAACGTGAGCCAAACCAAAAAGCGTTCCTAATGAGTAGAGGCCTCCATGCTGCATAAACTGGGGATCTTTGGTAGCAGTCCATGTCTGGAGGACAAGTCAACATCACCATGTGTTACTGGCCTAGAAACTGAAGGGAGGTTTGTGAATGAAAGTTTAAATTTCTATTGACTTTGTTTTGTTTTTCAGTTTTAGAAATGATACAGATGTAAATGGAATTACAAATACTGTGACCTAAGAAAAGATCCACTAGAAAATAATTGTACTATAAAATTTCATAAAAATGAATTTGATTTCTTTTTATAAAAGTTTCATATGAATGTAATTTGATTTTTTACTATGATAATCGAGATAATATAATGCAAGAGGGCTAAGAATTTTTTAATTGAATCATATACATTATATAATTTGATCCTTCTTATATTTTGAAGTTTTGTACTTGGGATTTCTGAACCGATACATGAATCACTGCATATTCCTCTGGTAAATATTTTCTTGGACCCTGCATCAACTTTGATTTTCTTTCTCACAGTACAGTGTGACCTCTTTGCCGGTATACCTTAGCGCCAGGGGAATATGCCTCAGCAATGCATTTATCTTTATCTATCAGGCCTCATGATTTCCAACTTTCTGCCACACTTGAATTATGTGCCTCTGTTTGGGTTTGTCTTTTCTGTCTATAGCCCAGTCAGAGAGTAACAAACAGTTACGAGTTTTAACTGAACTGGCCTAATATATAGAGAAGTTTTATATCTTGTATTAGAGGATTAGCTCATTCCCACTGCCATATACAAGACTGTCGCCTTTTGAAGTATTTGCCAGATTAAAACACTAAAGCAAGTGCAAGGGTATTTTTCTATTATCCCTTTTTAAATAAGTGGTAGGGAGTTTGCCTCTATTACTTACTGCCCACCTCACCTAAACTGTCAGGTAGGCATGTCACAAATGGCTATTTAGAGTGACATGGGAAGAAAGCTAAAGTTGATGTAGAATACAAAGAGTTGTGAAACTCCAGAAGAGGAGTGGGTTCTAGACAGAAGCATTTGAAGCCAGCTGTTCCAGACCCCATGGGGAAGAGGCTCTTCAGTAGCCTATATTGTCTAGTGATTTTTTTTTTTTTTTTAAGTGAACCTTTGGATTTCTCCAGCTCTCTTTCAATAGGCCCAAGTTCCATTTCTGCAGCAGACCATTACTTCTTTTTCCTCTAGGAATCTGTTCAAAACGGAAGCCAAGACAGGATAATCCAAAAACAAAACAAACCAAAAAAAGAAAGAAAAAAACCTTTGAATGTATTTTGTAGTTGCTTCCCAGTGTGTATCTGAGGTGTTACTTTACTGGCCAAGGACAAAGTTAGAACCTTCCTATCCTTTTGTCCTAATAAACTTTGATTATACTAAGAATCACTATGCTAAGTAATAAAATTATAGGTAACAAGAAAAGCAAAAAGAGCTCTAGGCCCAGAAGGAAATTCTAAGATTATTATTGCAAAGCAAATACCTTAAACTTCCACATGAAATCTTACTTCTCTCCTGAGACAATTTGTCCAGCCCTTCTGTCCCCCACACTGAATTGAATATCACCTCCTTTGGTCCCCAAAGCTGTTTCTGTTGTCTTCGCAACCTGTAATCGTTTTCTTGTATCTTTGTTGTTGTTTAGACTCGTCTGTTTCCAGTTTCAAGAAAAACTCTGTTCAGCTTTTTCTGTTACCCAATGTGTCACCTCAATGATAACTTTATCATTTTAAATCCTAACTTATTTCACATGGAAAAACTAATAATTACTGCATGCAATAAAGTTACAGTAGCATCCAAGAAAATGAACTCATATTTCTTTCATACTTCAATGTTAAAATTGAAATGCATACGAGAACAAAATCAGTATGGTGTTCTATGGTGTTCTTTTTTGTTTATGTCCACATCTAATATTTAAAATCTGCTAAAGAGCAGCAACAAAACTAAATCTTCACCAAAAAATACTCTCTAGCATAATTCAGAAGTGAGGACTTTTTTTAAAAGCCTTTTTGATTGTGGCCATCCATCTGCTTGCTTTTTTGTTTTGTTTTTTCAGTCAGAGCGTATGGTGTCACGGAGGCTCCCTGAATAGTGGATACCTATAAAAATGGTAATTGGGCAAACTTCAGGTATATGGATTGGGTGACATATAATAATGTATATCTTGCTTATTGACCCACACGATTCATGCTTCAAATCTTCAGGGTCTTGTTATTTTGCAAAGGGCAAGTTCTTAAACATCTTCTGCCAGTAATATATCAGGCATGATTCCTAGAGGTTTAATTTTAAGATACTTCAGAGAAGAGGAAAAAAAAAAAAAAGACCTGATGTTATGCCACCTAATACAGATTTTTTCTGCTCTAGTATAAATGTTGCATGTTTCCAAGATAAATAACTAAAAACTATTGTTGAGAGTTATTACTTGAGTTATTTACACCAAGATCTTGCCTTTCTAAAGCTAATATGATTAAAGGTAGATATGATATCTGTAGCTCTTTAGACTTAACAAACTGCATTGTATAAGAGGCTAAAATTGAGAAAATAGCTTTTTAAAGACAAAATACTGATTTTTTACTTTCAAAAGCCTTAACAGGGAATGACTTAATTTTCTATTTTTCCATTTTGCCTTTAGCCTTTGTGTATGAATTAAAGGTATGTGGAGATTCTGCCTCCGCACTGGATTAGCTGGTTTGTGTTTGGCCATTTTTTTCTTTCTCTATCATTCACAAGAAGAATTTTCCATGCTCTGAGGAAATTGCAATAAAATACTAATCCCTCAAACTGGATTTAAGCATAGTTAACTGAACCCCAAAGAGTGTTAAAAGAGAAACCCTATCTCTTTTGAATAGACGCAGAGACCAAGGTTTCTTTCTTCCCTCAACACACCATTTTTACAGTTATATGCCTCCCATCTGAATTTGGATAGCCCCTCACAATTGAATATGCCTTCTTTTATGAATGTTCGGTGAGAATAAAAGCAAAAAAGATACACGTTTTCATTTTCTTTGAGAAACAGTCAATGTCCAAAAGTTAAATTTTCAGTGATCTTTAGTGAGGAAATTTTCATTGGAAACAAATCCACCTAGTTAAGAGATAATCTAGTACCAAGTGTACCAAGGTAAATGGTAAGAAGTTATGAAATGTAAATACTAGATCAGTGTAGTCTTTCCCAACATACCCACAGTAATGCTATAAATAGAGGCTTTGTAAAAAAAAAAAACTGTCAAAGACTGGGGCAATGAATACAACCTCCCCCACCCCCACCCCCACCAGTGTGTGATTCTTGAGTTTTTATTTGGTTGGATTCACCTTGTCATTCCCTTTCCTGATAAAATAAAGGTCTGATGTATCTGCAGTAAGTCCCTGGGAACTAACCTCTGACTTAACAGACAGCTGGTGCTTGCCCTTTAATGTTGTATAAATTTGCCCTCACTTTGAAATGATTGAACCAACCCCTACTTGCAACAAATTCTTCACACAGTCACCTTCGCTTGCTGCACATGCTGCTTTTAAATCACTGAAAAGGCTTCAAGCCTTTTCATGTACTAAAAAAAAAACCCTTTACCGTCAAGTCAATTCCGACTCAGAACAACCCCATAGGACAGAGTAGAACTGCCCCATAGGGTTTCCAAGGAGGAGTTGGTGGATTCAAACTGCTGACCTTTTGGTTAACAGCCATAGTTCTTAACCACTGCACACCAGGACTCCAAAGGTAAGGCTAAATAAGAACCTTATGCACGTGTTCCGACTTACCTACAAAATCTTAAAGACACACTTAGGAATGGATCTTGTTTGTAACGTGAGGACTACTTGTATTTATGTACAAGAAAAGGGAAGGGATGAATCTGAAACAGGCTCTCTTGTTGCTGCTCACATGAGCTGGCACTATTCTAGCTGCTTATTTCATAGAGCCTGGAGGCTCACCTAAACTTTTACTCTCTTAATAGAATGTCTCTAGCATTAGTCATGGGAGAAGCTACATGGCTAAGAATGGTTTAAAAGAACAGTGTTCATTGAAACCAGCAAGACACTTGACATCTTTATTGACATCTTTGTGGCTAAGATGGAGGATATGACTGGGAATAGTGGAGCCAGGTGGATTCCTAGCTAATGAAACATCCCAGCCTAAGGGAGTCGAATAGTGATTCAGTGTTTTGTATGAAGACACAAGGAATTCCATGGAAAGGTATTATCAAATGTACAGATAACAGAGCTGGAGTGGTTAAATATGGTAACATTATTAAGATTTAAAATTGTTTCAGTGGTGAGACAAATTTAAGATGAAATGGGACGCATTCTGTTGCCACAATAAAAGGAAGGGTGTTAATGGATTGAATTGTGTTCCCAAAAAATATGTATTGAAATCCTGGCCACCCCATACCTGTAAATATTATCCTGTTTGGAAAGAGAATTTTCTTTGTTATGTTAATTGGAATATTCCTGAGTAAAAACCAAACCCATTGCCATGAAGTCAATTCTGCCTCATAGTGACCCTATAGGACAGCATAGAACTGTCCCATAGGGTTCCCAAGGCTGTAATCTTTACAGAAGCAGACTGCCACATCTTTCTCCCTCGTAGCTGCTGGTGAGTTTGAACTGCCAACCTTTTTGCTAGCAGCCAAGCACTTAACCACTGTGCCACCGGGTCTCCTTATGCTTCAGTAGGTGGGTTCTAAATATAATTTCTGAGTTATAAAAAGAGGATAATGAGCACAGAGACACATGGGGGAAGACAGATGCCATATGAGAATTGTCTACAACCCAAGGAATGCCCAGGGCTACCCACAAGGAAAGGAGCGACACGTCCAAGAACCTGATTTGGACTTTTTCGCCTCCATAACTGTGAGAAAATACCTTTCTGCTCTTTAAACCACCATTTGTGCTATTTGTGTTAAAGCGGCACTAGGAAACTGAGACAAGGGGAACCGGACTTGATAGTGGTACTTGGGGGAAAAAGACCTGGCAGTTTATTTCACCAAGTTCCAAATAAAACCCACAGTACAGCAAACCTGGGAGGAAAGACTAAAATAGGAGGAAAGAACTAAAGCCTTTTAAAAGTGTGCTGATGTCCTGTGAGTGGACAGCCCCGTAAAACCAAATGAGACTAATGAGGTACAGGAGTCCAGTGACAAGGGCCAGAAGGCAGAAGGGGACAAGGAAGCTGGTGATAGGGAACCCAAGGTTGAGTAAGGATATTGTTGATGTGTT